GGGATGTTCTGAACATTACTTCCGAAAATAAAAATGGAAGAGGTAACGATAATAAATCGCTCTCCCTGTCAGCACAGGGAAGACGGCCCTGAAGGACCAGACTCTGTGCGCTCTGGGAGCCCCGTGAACCCGGAAGCCCAGCCCAGGGAGGTCCTGCCACCCTTGGGGCCATGGCGGGGAGGGGGACTGGCCGAGCTCAGAATCCCTCCTGCATTCGTCCAACAAGTGCTGACCGAGCCCTGCTGTGCGGGCAGAAGCCCGTGCTTGACCGCCCAGCATCCCAGCAGGATGGAGACCAAGCAGAGGAAAGGGAACTGGTGCATCTGGATGACCCAATCGAGAGGGGGCTGGGTGTGGGGAGGGCGGGGAGTTGCCAGAGAGGCTGGGAAGCTGCCCCACTAGCCATGGGGAGCAGGTGGAGGTCAGGAGCCTTGCAGGGGGACGGGAGGCTCAGCAGGAGGCCTCCCTGAGCTCCTGGGTCCTGGGTCTTCCCTTTGCAGGGCTGGCCGGGACGTGGGTGAGGATCCAGGCCTTGTGCCGTCTCCCTAGCACTCAGGAGACGTGGGAACCCAGACGAAGGACCAGAGCCGCTGCCAGGGTGCTCGGCCCACCCATTAGAGTCTCCAGACTTCCTGGTGGGAAGTGAGGGGCCTCCTGGGCCGGCTGGGGACAAGCAGTCATCCTGCAGCCTGAGGGGGGGGGCCTGAGCACCGGGCCCAGAGCTCAATGTAAAGGCAGCAGCACCTGCCACCCCAAGGAAGCCCCGAGAGGAAGGGAGCCTGGACCCGCGATGGCCATCCTCGGAGCCCCCATGGCTGCAGGGCCAGCCCACTCCTCGCTGCCCATGACTGAGCGGGGTGTCAGCGTGGAGGCTGGGACGGCATGGGCCCACTGCAGCTGCAGGCACTGGGAAAGCATCTCGGGGCCTGACAAGCTCTGGACCCCGTCGGGGGGCTGGCTGTGGCCCAGGAGCAAATGCCCTAGGAGCACATTCGCCACGCTGCCGGGCGGGCTCTTGGAAATTCGGAACCGACCACGGTCCATGTTGGGTGGAGAGCCCAGAAGGGCCCTCGCAGTGGCTAAGGGATGTGGAGGCTAAGCAGGGCCCCGGGGACACTGCACAGGTGAGGGCACCTGCACAGCCGAGAACCAGCACGGGTGACCCCTGCAGTGCGGCTGAAGACAGCAGATGCTGTTACGGGGCTGGCTCCCCAGCAGCAGGGTGATGGGGTGGGGGCTGAGGCCCCACAGGAGCAGAGGGGTCAGAGGCAACCGGACACCCTGAGCAGTGGCTACCTGCGGTGATGGGGGCAAGCTGGACGGGCCGCTGACAGCCCGTGGACTCAGAAGAGAACCAAGTGACAGCACAGACAGCTGTCAGCCTCCTCACGGAGGCCACGGTCCCTCCCCCAAGGTCCAGACCTGCTCGGTCCTCAGACAAGAACCATCGGCTGGCGGAGAGGCTGGGCTCCCTCGGGAGAGCCCCAAGGCACCAGGGCAACTGGACAGGGCGGTGGTCCCTACCACCTCCCAGAGGAGCTCACGGCATTCACCCCCAGGGCAGAGGGGGCACCACTGACCGCAGGGGCCCAAAGCAACGCCAAGGCTCCTTTAAAACTGGGGCTTATGGGGCCACTCAGCTACCCACTGGTCATTTCCCCAGCCCTGGAACGTGTAACTGGGATGGACGCCGGCAGAACGCCACTCATTCCTCTGCCGTCTGGGATGGGCTGGCCGAGAGGAGGGCCATCTCTGACCTCCGACGTGAAAGATGAAAGTGTTGCCGCCACCACCACTGCCCGGTACCCACTGCCCGGCGCCCGCACACCCAGCCCGCACTCGGCTGCAGATGGACATCCACGCGAGGACTGGCGGGCCCCTGAGACGTGGGCAGGCCGCATACCTGGGTAACGTCCTTGTCCCCTGTCCCCAGCTCCACCAGCCGACCCCAAAGTAACACCCCTGCCCACACCCAGCTCGGCAGTTTCAGGCCTGTTTCACACACTCGATGCACATCTACCTCGTGTTCCCTGGGGTTCACGGGATTCCCGACCGGAGGCACCAACCATCCCCCCACCTCCTCTGGGCCCCGCGTGCAGTGGGTTTCTTCAGCCCCCGCTGGACCACCATCCCTCAGCAACGTCCAATCTGCCAAAAGCCTGCCCACCAAGGGGTCAACTGCAATGACTGCATCTGCGTTTCCAACAGTTCTATCTGCTCTTCGCCATTTCTGTGTGGGTATTTTAAACTCTCTTGGCCTTTGCATTTTATTCTGTTTCCTCGACACTGCAGGTCATCACGTGCTGCTCCAGGGGAGGCTGGCGGCTGGGATGGGCGGGGTCCCGCTCACCTGCGTCTGAGCCGGCGCCCCAGGACCGACACTGGCTCCTCCAGAAACAACGTGCTGCTGCTTCCACCAAGCGGCTTTCTCACCTGGAGCTCCCGGGCTGCAGGTGGTGTAGACGTGGGCCCGCAGTGGGGAGGGGCTCCCCCTCCCTCTGTGGGCCGAGTCCCCTCCTCAGCCAGCACTTCAGCGAGCCAAGGCCGCGCCTCCCGGCGGCTCACGCCCCACAGGCAGGGCCGAGCATCCGGGACACACGAGCGCTGAGCGTACCCTACCCTCTGCATCGTGTCCCTGGTGCCCGGGCCCCGCCCACACACAACTCCTCTCAGCCTTGGGCACAAGCTCTCACTGTGACACTGACCCTGGGCAGGAGGGCACCTGAGAAAACTGTCAGGGGATAACGGGGGCGGGGGGGGGGGGCGTACCCGAAGGCAGTGGGTCCCCTCCCTCCTCCCCTGACTCAGGGCTGGGCCAGCCCCACCCCGGTGTGTTCCAGGGCCACGGGGCCCAGCACCCGAGCAGGACCCTGCACTCGAGGTCTGGCTCCGAGGCAGGCGTCGTGGGCCCTCTTAGAAGGGGAGACACATTGTGGCCCATGTTTGGTTCCTACTCCCGGGTCGGGACGGCCTGGAGAAGAATTACAAACAGGACAACAAAGGAGCGAGAGGCCGGTGCTTCGGGAACCAGGAGAAAAGGACAGCGCCTGGGGCCTGTCCTCAACCCAACCAGAAAACCAAACCCACGGTGCACGGAAATAGTTCAGGCTCCCAGTCAGAATCCAGCCTGTGTCCTTCTCTGCCTTCACTCACAAGTCCTGTAACTAGTTTGCTGGTGAGTTTATTGTGACTGCTGTCAACCTGCTTGTTACGAGCCGAGTTAAAACAGAACAAAAATGGTAAACTCTCCTTGGAGAGCCTGACTTCTCTATTTTACACAGACCATTTATTAAATTAGAAGGCTGAAAAGTAAAAACATATCTTACAATCAAGGAGGAATGTGGACCCTGGACCCCAACAGAATGATCAGAAACGCAAAGCTCTGAGGACCGTTTCTGCCAACACCCGGCGGGGCGCCCGAAATGGGAGGGAGGGCAGGCCTGCTAGAAACACCTCTCTCCTCACCAGCACAGAGCAGCAGCCAGCTGCACGGTGCCCTGGCCCCGGGCCCAGCAGCCACGGGCGCCCGAGCCAGACGGCCCCCACCCCACCCCCAGGGGCTGCCTGGATGGTGAGGGCGGACATGAACGCGAAGCCGAGGCAGGAAGGGCCAGTCGAGGCAGGAAGGGCGTCCGACTTAACAAAGGCCTCACAGGGCATAACCTTCCTCTGACCTACTAAAGAAGCAGCCTCCATGAAAAAGGACCATGAGAGCTGCCAGGTCTGGAGCCGCCCTGAAGCTAAGACTCCCGTAAACGGAGGCTCGGGCGGGGCGGCTGGGGCAGCGCGGGGTCACCTGGGGCTGGGGGCCTGGCCTGTGTGGAGCTGCGCTGAGTGTGGTCAGGTCACCGCCCAACAGTCTAGGGCTGCAGCCGAGGAACCATCGCTCTCAAGCATCTGATAAGAGCCTGCGGCAAAGGCACAAGTGGTCCGAACCCACCAACCAACGCAGGTCTCCCCGAGCCGGGGCCACCGTGCACACCCAGGGGAGACAGAAAGTGGCACCGCACTTAACCTACATGGAGGCAAGGGCTGCCGCCTGAGTCCTCCTAACTTCCTCAGGCTGGCCTTCCACTGACGTCCACATGGTTGGGATCCACCTCTATGTCCAAAGGCTGGGCAATGACTCCAAAGACAGAGCGGTGACCGCGACTTACTGCGGACCGCAGCGACCACAGCACAGTGCGTCACTTCGGAGACACCATTCAGATTTCTGATTTCCACAGGGCATCACCCAGCCTGTCCCCGTCCTCTCTGTCCGTGGCCGGAGCCAGGGCCAGGGTGCCAACCACACAGCAGGGTGCCTCCTGCCTCTTGGGAAGACCTGCCAGCACTGATGGTCACCAGACTGCCCTCTCTGTCGCCCAAACTGATCCACAGGCCTGGGCCCAACCTAGTCTCCCTAAATTAACATCGGCAGTAAAAGCCAGGAGTTCCTAAATGCCCTTTGATAAGCAAATACAAAGACTGAATCTGTTTCTTACATCCCCAATTTTAGTTCTGTTGCCAGAGTGCATCCCGGGGAGGAGCGGTGACCCTTCGGGACAGCATCACACAGAGGCGGGTGAGAGAGCAGGAGAGACTGAGGGCCCGGGGCCCGGGCCAGGGCTCCCGACGCCACGCCCAGACTTGGCTGCTCTGCACTCAGGCCGAGCTCTGCAGCCGAGGCCGGACGGGGGTGAGCAGCCCACGAACACCACCAAGGGGAGGAGATAAATTTGCAGCTGAAACTTCTAAGTGACCCCAAACCCCCTGTCAGTGGGTTCTGTGTGCCTTGCGTTAATGGGCCTACCCGATCAGGTCGCGTCACCGCAGGCCACCAATCAAACCAGAGAAGGCTTGGCACGAAGGCCCTGGTGGGGGCAGCTGCTCCCAGGAGAGCCTCCTGGGACGGTGGGAAGGTGGGCGCGCACACGGGACACGGCCCTCCGACCAATGCGGGAGAGGCCCCTCACCCGCCCCGACCATGTCGAGAACGGCTGCAGGAACCGAAAACCACATGCATCCCGAACAGGGGCGTGGACTGGGCTACACAGACGTCCGAGGAAGGGGCTACGCAGGGCGCGTTCACGGGGATCTGCTGGGGACGGTACTCCTGGGAGCTGGGCGGGCAGGCGGGCAGGCGGGCTGGCAGCGGGGGCACATCTAGGACTCCTCGCCCATCTGCAGCAGGGAGTTGATGGCCGCATCCTTGCTGCCCCGCTGGGCCTCCAGCACAGAGCGGATCACCTCCCGGTCCATGTTGGGGAACATGTCCTGGATGGCCTTCAGGTCCTCCTCGCTACAGCGGGGCTGGGCGCTCACGGCTGGGGGCAGGGCCACAGGCACCATGCCGGGGCTGCACACGGCGGGCATCCCTGCGAGCAGGAGACAGGGGTCAGGGAAAGCAGCACCTCCGACACGCGGGCTAGCCACCCCAGGGGGCGGCCCCCCAGGTCTCGTCTCCCATCCTGACCTTAGAAACTGGCCAGACACTTGTGAGAAACCAGGGGCAAGCAGCCCCCCACCACTCAGTCCCCGGCATCTCACATGAGCCCACTTCACAGCGGGGGTGGCAGGGGCAAAAACAGGCCTAAGAACGTGTGCATTTACACCACAGGGGTCAATTCTCATCCATCAAAGGCCACGAAACAGTTCCCTCCACCTGAGAATGAAACAGTTAACACAGTCTACGCTCCCTTGCCCCAACACCTGAGAATTTCAGGCCGTTTCCTCTGTCACACATTCCAGAACAGACTTTCCCAGCTTGGTACTCACATCACAATCAGACACTGACGAGAAAAGAAAACTCGCCCAGCACGTGCCCAGCGCGTGCCCAGCCTTCCCCGTGACAGCAGACAACCCACGAGGCGAGGCGCTCACGAGCACTGCCGCGCTGGGGCCTATGCGCTCGAGCAGAGGCCCTGGGGCCCTGGACGCCCAGCCCCACCAGCTACACATGGGGCTCCTGGTATCGCTCCCTCACACCAGCCACGTCCCCTCACTCCCTTGTTAGACACAAGTGATAACTGAGAACCTCATGGCATCTCAACTGCTGGAAGGTTCAGTCTGAGCACCTGGTGCCACCGGACCCCAAGACAAAGCTTTGACTCCTTGTCCTGAGATGGTCTCATGGCGGAACCCAGACAAACGTAAGGAAGGAAAGTGTTAACAGAGACTCCACGCCTAACCGAGTGCAGAGCCTAGTCAAACACCTCTCTGAAAAGTAGAAAGGGATTTAAAATCATTAGTTCTGGGACTTCCCTGGTGGCGCACTGGTTAAGAATCTGCTTGCAGGGCTTCCCTGGTGGCGCAGTGGTTAAGAATCCACCTGCCAATGCAGGGGACACGGGTTCGAGCCCTGGTCCGGGAAGATCCCATGTGCCTCGGAGCAACTAAGCCCGTGCGCCACAACTACTGAGCCTGCGCTCTACAGCCTGCGAGCCACAACTACTGAAGGCCGTGCACAGCAACAAAGACCCAACTCAGCCATAAATTAATTAATTAAAAAAAAAGAATGCGCTTGGCAATGCAGGAGACGTGGATTCGGGCCCTGGTCGAGAACTAAGATCCCACATGCTGCGGGGCAGCTAAGCCTGTGCGCCACAACTATTGATCCCGGGGGCCACAACTACTGAAGCCCGCATGCCTAGAGCCCATGCTCCACAACAAGAGAAGCCACCACAATGAGAAGCCCACGCACCACAACCAAGAGTAGCCCCCGCCCGCTGCAACTAGAGAAAGCCTGCATGTAGCAACGAAGACCCAATGCAGCCAAAAATAAATAAATAAATTTTAAAAATAAAATAAAATAAAATAAAATAAAATAATTAGTTCTTATAAACTCAAAAGCACAAACAATCTGCCCAACCAGGCTGGGAGCGCTGGACTGAGAAGTTTAGGACATGATTTCCTTTCCTGTCTGAAGTCAGAAGATCCTAAGGCGGCTCAACGCTGTCCAAACCAAAACTGGCAGGAGGGCCGACAAGTGTAGAGACGAGGTGGCATCGGCTGCAGGTGCGCGACCGAGGCTGCACTGGACACACACGGCCGCCTCCAGGGACGGAGGGAACGGGATGTGCTCCCAAGGCAGCAGCGGAGCCCAGCCCCTCCGAGTCCCTCCTGGGCCAGCCGGGCCGAGCACCTGCCCACACCCCCTGCCCACCATCCTTTAGTCCTGGCCGTCCTGAGAGGCGAGAGGTCGCTTGGGTCCCAGGTGGGCACTCAAACCCGGTGAGGCCAGGGCCCCCAGGTCGTTCCATGAGCCCAGGAAGGTGCTTGCCCACTGCCTTTCAGAAACGGGGAGGAGCGAAAGGGAACCTGGGACTGGGGATGGCTGACAGCTTCATTCCATGAGCCCCCCGCCGTCCGCCCTGGCCTGGTTCGCGTCCAGGCCACACCCCCATCACCTGCATTTCTGACACTTCTGGGAACAGTGGAGACAAACTTTAGGGGGCACCCTGGCTCTCCTTAGGCCCCTTCCGCCAGGAGGGTCTTGGGTTGTAACGTGGGAGGCGGGCGGTCCTATAGGGCAGTTAACTCGGGGCCCCACAGTCTTCACCTCGCTCTGGATGGAGTTTAGAGGATTTCGGGGACGCGGCCACTACCGTGCACATGGCATCCTCGGCGTCACTTGGTCTCTCCGGTGCCCCGAGCCTCCCGCCGCCCATGCACCGCCCGGTTTTATGGTGGCTCACGCGGGGGGCGAGCTGAGCCCAGGACCCGTCACGGCCCAGGGTGGGAGCTGATCACAGGCTGACGTAAAGGCTCAAAAATCCAAAGGCAGAAGAGCCACAGTCCAACTTGACTTTGCTGTGCTGTGCGAACCACGCATTCAGAAAGGTTACGAGAGTGTAAGGTAAGTACCTCATAAAGGTAAAAAGATGGGAGAGAAACAGCAACGCTGGAGCCCGGGGTCCATCCACCCAACAGACAGTGATCTTGTGCTGCGGTGATTGAAAACGCTTAGAAATCACATTTCAACATCTCCATAAATTTCAACTCACCTTCTCTGTGCCGACAGAGAAAAAACAAACCCTATTTCCTACACGTGCATGTAACATTCAAACGTAACAGCGGACCCCTGGTTTTGGGAAGCTCTCCGGGCATCCCTTGAAGACCAGGCCCAGCCTCTAGCCCACACCCCGAACCCCCACGCGCCTCCCCGCTGCTCGAACACCCAAGGGCATGCGCCTTGGGGGGAGAAGCAGGACACACCTGTGATGGGCACGTAGCCGACGCCCTGCCGGTACACAGTGGGCATCAGGACCACGGGCTGAGGCGGCATCATCACGGCAGCCGGCAGCGACTGAAACACACCAAAGACAATCAGGGGTCAGAGAAGAACACAGCACACATCCGAACCTCGTCACTCCCAGCCTCGCCAAAAGCGTCCTGGGAGGGACAGCGCAGGGCCTGGAGCCCAGTCACTGGGCCCAGGATCGAGGCGGGTCCAGCCAGGCCCTGCGCCCCGTCCAGCATCATCAAGTCCCTGCCCACACTGACACCCCAAAGGCTCCTCTGCCAGAGGACTCGGGTAGAAGGTGTCATCAGACCTGCTGAA